CATGTCCCCGATCACAATCAGCAAGAATATAATAGACAAACTCAGAATAAATAAATATCATATCACAAATAAAATAACATCCGAGACATAGAAATACGGATCAAACATGCCCTTATACAAAACTATCTGAATGAAATACTGGAGAATATAAAAATACACTGATCAAAAGGAAATGAAGGTGCTACAAAACAAACTGAAAGGAATGACTAAGCTTTGGCTTCTTCTTCTGCTACGTCTACAAAGCACTCATGCTGAGAATCCTCTGGCTCCTGACGATCTCCTAGCTGGACCTGTTCTTCCTCTAAGTCTGACATACACCAGAGAAAATAGGTGTACGTTAGCGTGCATGGCGCACGGCAATACCCCACAAAAGAAAATAGAACGAACGAAAACCCAAGCGGAAAACGATACAATAACAGAAACAACAAAAGAACGTACAACTAAAATCCACAAATCAACAAGAAAACATTACTAAATCATGATAATATAAAGCATCCAAAATCGATTAGGTAACGAGATCATGTAGCTAGCGATCAGTCTAATCATCCAAGTAACAGGGGCATACAATAGACGGAATTAATACGAGATCATGTAGCTAGCGATCAGTCTAATCATCCAAGTAACAGGGGCATACAATAGACGGAATTAATACTTAAAAATCTACAATAAGAGACGTAGTACGTCGAGCGAAATAATCCAAACAAGGAAACCCTCATGTATATACCATATGTCTCAAATTATAAATGATTAAATATTAATCCCGATCTATGTATAAAAAGAAATACAACTGCACGCTTTAACCGGGTTAAGTACTAGCCATCCTAAAACTCACTGGTCCACATCTCACATAAAGTCAACATTCATATCACTGGATAACTGACTGTCCAAAAATCCTCTACGCGCATCTAATACCGCTATACAAATCGGTCAGAGGACTACACGCAATCCGATCTCGGCCTGGTTCGAACTCAGGCAAAGCTCAGGTGACGAGACAGGTCACGGACTAAAGTGACTACACGAATTCACTTTAACCTAACAACCAACCCCAGTGACTACACGAATTCACTGGCGCGAGCTGGAAGATACATCAACAGTCACATCCAAGCACATGAACATTAACTTCCCCATCTTAACTCTTCTCGTTTTTCTAAATCAACAATCGTTTTCCACACTAAAACTTTGGTTCACCACCTAAACTCAGTCAACACACCCACACATGTTACTAGATCTGTTCATGACGCACGAGGCCACTAAATCATGAACTACTAATGGTTCTCAATCACAACAAATAATAACAAAAACAACTGATCATGTACAATAATATCATGGCAATCAGGTAATTGAAATTAAGAGTCATAAATTTATGAACAACCAACTATGTAATTCAGAAATTAATTGTTTCTCCAAAATAATTTCTTTTAAATTATTATAATTTTTCTAAATGATTCGTTCTCAAATAAATTCTTTTTACTTAATATAATTATCCAAAAAATGATTCCACTACCGAAATAAATTCTTTTAATTCATAATAATTATTCTAAAATAATCTTTTCTCAAAATAGTTTAACAATTCAAATAATCCGTTTTTCTAAAATAAATTATTTTAGATTATCTATTTAATAGTTATTCAAAACTAACTTTTTTTTCTTCCAAATAATCTCTTTTCTCATCATAATAATTCTAATTAATTTAGAAAATATTAATTTATCATTTAAAATCCTTTAATATCATCATCAACAGTCCCACGCAAATAATAACAATTCATAATTAAACTACGTAAATAATTCATAATAAATGTAAATATTTAAACTACGAAACAGGGAGCGGGATCTTGCCTCGGGGTTTTCATCGAACGAATCGACGCTGACGGCGCGGATCGGATCTGGCGTGGGGAGTTGGACGACGGCTCGCTCCGGCGTGGGGCTCCTGGTCCGAGCCTCGGCCATTGAAGCGGCGGGCGCGAGAGGTTCGATGGGAGGGCTGGCGTAGATCTGCGGCAGACGGATGTGGATCTGGGCAGCGGGGTTATTGGTGGAGCTTGGGCGACGGTGTCGGGGCGAGCACAGCGGCGGGATCTCGGGTCTGGTGGGGTGCTCGATGGATGACGCAGCGGAGGACAGGGACGTGGAGGCGTTGCTGTTGGTCGTAGGGTGCTAGATCTGGAGGGGAAGAGTTGAGGGAGGAGCTCACGGCGGTCGTCGGAGTTGGAGGAGCGGCAGGCGGTGCTGCTGAAGGCAGAGAAGGAGGAGAATGGGCGGAGCGAACGGAGAGGGAGGCGGTGGCGTTTGCAAGGCGTGGCTGGAGGAGAAGGCCGACGATTTCGCGGCGGAGAGAGAAAGATGGGTGAGGGTACGGCGGCATGGCTCGACGGTGGCGGCTCGCGGTGGTTGCGGCTGGAGATGGCGACAAGAGAGAGGTCGGAAGAGAGAAACGAGGAAGAGGAGAGAAGGAGATTATGATGGTGGCAGGCGGGGTTAACACGAGAGAAGAAAGAGAGGGTGAAAGGCTGAAACGAAACTATATATATATATATATATTGTATATATATATATATATATATATATTATATATATAGTATATATATATTATATATATTATATATAATATATATATATATTAATATATAATATATATATATATATAAAATATATATTAGGGTTTACGGTTAATTAAGTTAAAACAAAATTAATTAAAAAGAAATAACTAATGATATTTAAAAATCAAAATAAATACGAGATAATTATCTACAAATAAAAACATACCTGTTGTGCTAATACAACAGTTGATACAAAACTGAAGAAATAATACTATAAATTGTACAATTAAACAAGAATAATTAATAAAACATACAATTTCTTATTTTTAAAATCAAATAATTATAGGATAATTATTTACGTGATAAAACGTACAAGTTGTACTAATATAACCGATAATATGCAACAGTAGAAATATTACAACTAATTATATAAAATAATACGAAATAATAATACAACATATTATACAAAAATATACGTAATAATAAAAATAATACAACGTATTATTCAAAATAACATGTAACAGTATCGGTAACTCAACGGATAAATTCTAGAAATTTTTACTACACTGAATAAATTTATAAATATTTTAAAAACTATAAAAACACCCAAAAAAGTTTAAATAATAAAAAAACACTATGAAATTCTAAAATTTTAAAACTTGCGAACAACAAAGATGAATTCAAAGAATTACTACCAGACACTAAAAAACTAAGAATTTGTAAAAAATAGCTTCAAAGTTATAAAATTTTTCAAAAACTCTTTCGAAAATAAAAAAAATACAGAAAGCCCTAAAAATTAATAACTTATAATCAATACATATCAAATTTTAAAATTATCAGCAGATCACTAAAAAATTAAATTTTGCAACAAACAATCTAAAGTTTCAATAATTATAAAAAATACCCTCAAAATTCAGAGTTGCAAGAAATATTATGACATTAAAAAACTTACTACCAGCAAATAAAACATGAAAATTACAAGCACCCAATTTAAAATTTAAAATTTTTAAAAAACACTCTCAAAGTTTCAAAATTTACAAAACACACCATTAAAAATTCAAAATCACGAAAAGTGACTAAATTTTCAAAATATAGCAAAAAAGTAGTTGTATTATATTTTTTTATTAAGATATGTAAATTTAACTTTTATTTTAAGGTCTTACTATGCTTTTTCGGCATCTAAAAGTAGTCTAATTTTATCGAAAAAGATAAAGGTGGAGAATGATTGATAATGTCTTAATAAAAAATAAAACAGAAGGAATGAAAAACACTATTTTCTGAATATTTTATAGAATAGGTTTTTTTGGAATAAATTAGGAATTTTTGGAAGGGATTTTGATAAACGTTTTTTAGTACTTTTATATGCTTATGTGGATGTTTTAATTATATAAAAGTGTAACAGATTTAGTATTAATCTTTATTTTATAATTTTTTTAAAAATCTATCAAGGATTAGGAACAAACTCCATATTATCTTTTGTGTCATTTTAGCCCACTTTTAACCAATCATCTTATTTTATGAGCTTTAATTTTTTATTTTCCTTTTAGAACGCTATTTTTTGAAGTATTTTTCACTTTTACAAAACTATATTTTATCATGTTAAACTTGGTTTCATGTCGGTCTCAATGACATGATAATTCAAATTGATTTTGGATTACATTTATTTTCTGTTAATTCAATTATTAATATAAAATTTTAAATTGAGTGTAGTTCATTTAAACGAATGTTAAAGAAAATAAATAATCACAATACTAAAGTTTAGAAATATAAGTAAACATGAACCATCAAAGTGGAACCGAAGAACAAATTTTAGTAAAGAAAATAAACTAAGGGGCTGTTTGGTTCGCTATTATAAGGGGTGGAAAACTCAGAAAACCCCTCCACGTCAGATTTTTAGCCCTCCACGTCAGTTTTTTTGTTTCCGTCCATTTTCTTTGTGCCGCTTTGGTTCGCTCGGATGGAAGAGGGAAAACTCTGCTGAAATCGCCGCCAACTAAGATTTTTTCCCTCTCCGATTTCCTTCCCCAACCAAGTGAAATTGATGAAAACTCTGCCACGTCAGATTTTTTTCCTTCTCTGCTTTGTTTACAAAAGTTTTCCTTTTTTTTTCTATGCGAACCAAACACAAGAAAAATAAATACATTGGTTTCCCACTATTTTTATGTGCGAACCAAAGCAAAACAATCTATTTCTTGGAAAAGTTTGGAAAACTCAAAACTTGTGTTTCTTTACATGGAATTGCATTTCTCTATATCAAGGAAACGAACCAAACAGCCCCTAAATATACTTAATCATGATATTTGACCATGTGCATTGCACGTGTATAAACCCTATAGTTTGCTTAAAAAGAGAAGGTTACAACCATATTTCTCTTAAAAAAAGGAAAATTACGACGAAACCATTTTGTGTAATACACATTGTTTATGGTAGTTTATAATACAAAATCCTATTAGTTCATGACAACCCCTCTTTTTTTTGCAAAGAATTCACACCAAATTCCAAAAAACTCAAATCCCCAACTTAAATCGCCCCTAAAATCGGGTAGTCTCCCGTCTCCTCAAAACCTCACTCCACCAAAATCATCAAAAACCCTAGAAAACAAAAGAAAACCCAACGAAATCAAACAAAAAATGAAGGATAAATCTCCAAAGCTCCGATACGCAATGGTCTGCTCCTCGAACCAGAATCGGAGCATGGAAGCCCACTCCCTCCTCCAGCGCCATGGCTTCGACGTCTCCTCCTACGGCACTGGGGCACACGTTAAGCTCCCCGGTCCATCGTACCGCGAGCCCAACGTCTACGAATTCGGAACCCCTTATCACAAGATGTACGATGACCTCCTCCGCAAGAACCCTGAATTGTGAGTGGAAAGCCGATTTTGCCCCCTTCATTTTTTTCGTAGTTAGTGTTTTTGCCATTGTAAAGTTGGGATTTTTGTGGAGTTTTTTTAGGTACAAGCGTAATGGGATCTTGCCGATGTTGAAGAGGAATATGAGTGTGAAGCTAGCGCCTCAGCGCTGGCAGGATAATGCTGCTGATGGCCCCTTTGATGTTGTTCTCAGTTTCGAAGATAGGGTTTTCGATGCAATTGTTGATGGTAACTGGGTTTTTGTTTTTGTATTATTTTAGTTTTGTTTTAAAGCTGATACTTTGCGATTGGGTTTTGAATTTGATTGATTTATATGAGTTTCAATTTGGAGTTTTTATTTGAATTAGTGTGCAATTCCGAGCTTTGATAGTTTAGAACTTGCTCTTGTGAGATAATGACAATTACAATTTCAGATTTTGTAATCATACCTAAGGGTATTAGCTGAAATTGGATTAAAAAGATGCCTAGAGATGTAACCGTCTACGACTGAGCCTTTATGAATATTTGGTTGGCAATTTATAGTTTTGCTTCAATTTGCTTTGATGGAAGGTAATTTATACAGAGGATTGATGAAGATTCTAGCAGATACCTATTCTCTTTTAGGGAATGGAATAATTTTCTGATAAAAAAAATAAAACAGGAGATTTTGGTGGGTAACATAAATATAAGGCAGCAGAGTAATGAAGAAAATAATAGATAATAACAGATAACACGTTGTAGAAATGGGATCTTAGGAGACAAGAAAAATTAGCATGGAGATATAACTTGAGATTTCATTAATATAAAAAAAGACTTAAATCATTTCTAGAAAGTGCCAACACACCGATTGTGTAGTATTAGTTAGTAAGCAAGCAACGTTTGTGTTCTGTTTCGAACCCTCAACAGCTTATGCTTTTTTTCTATCAATGATAGAAGCTTAAGGAGAATGCAACTTATTTTGGAAGAGGACAAAATGTATAAGGTAGTTATGTCATGAAAATGAATGGTAGCCATTTTGCAGTGTTGTTATTCGCTTACTTACCTGTAAAGATTCCATATGGGTAAAACATAGTTACTAAACACTGAAAGATGTAGAAAGCGGACCTAATTTGAAAATAAATGGTTGAATCCTAGTTTCATCTAGTCCTAAGTTTGGAACTTTGCGATTGGATTTTGAGAAGTTGATTATTATGATCTCCAACTTGAAAATCTTATTTATATTTGTATTGAAGTGAAAAGAAAAGAAAATCTGTGCTTGGGATAATTTTGAAGCTGTCATGAGATTATAGCAACCATCATATTAGATTTTTGGCCTACTTTTTAATAAACCATTGAAGGTTTATCGGTTGAAATTGGAAGACGAGGACTCCTAGAGATGTAATCTATAAGGCTGAGCCTTTATGATATTTGGTTGGCAACTTAAAGTTTTGCTTCTAGTTGATTGTTATAAGGGAGAGTTATACATTGGATTCATGAAGACACTAGTAGGTACCAAGTTTTTGTTAAAATGAATAGCATAGTAGATTTGATAAAAAAAAAGAGATTTTGGTTGTTAACTTAAAAAAGAAACTAGCAAAATTAATGGGGACAATAGTAGATGATGTACTGCAGAAGACACTAGTAGGTACCAAGTTTTTGTTAAAATGAAAACCATACTCTCTTGCTTGTAGCCTTATCTTAACTATCAAATTACCAACCCTTATTATGTAGGATAATTAGTGAACATGCGAAGATTGTACGTAGATTCAAAGTCCCAATAATTTATCTCTCAGGCACATTGAAGAAGTTATCTTCCAAAGTAAAATAAGATAAGAAGGTACTTTCTATGGCATGAAGATAAATAGTAAACCAAGTTGCAGCACCATTGGTATTGGCTTAAAATACTAATAAAATTCCATTACCTAAAGGTTTTTATTTAACCCTTTAGACGCTTGAAAAGGAGGATTTAATCTGAACTCAATGGTATAATTCATCGTTGCGTGATTCCCCGAACCTCCCTCGAATCATCGTGCAGTCCTTGTGAACTAATTCCCGGTACGTTTGCGAACCGATTCCCTTTGATACACGAGCCGGTCCTCCAAAATTAACGTACCACTTACAAGTATGCTAGATGCAAAGTCTTTTTAAGTGCATGTGTGCAAGACGCAATACGATGTGTGCAATTAAGTGAAGAGAGACATGCAATAGAGTATACGAGTCGATGATTTTACTGTAACTAAACACATGTTAAGAAAATGTAAAACGAAGCCATGATCCTAAAACGCGCTCGGTGAAAAAAAAAAAAACAGAACGAAGAAACGAACTCCATCAAAAGAAGTATTTAAGTATTTTTTATGAAAAATATTAAAATTCATAATTAGCTTTCTAGTTTTCTACTATATACTTTAAAGACCTTTAAGCGCACCCGAAAAATTTTTACAACGTACTACTAATTGAACTTGCGTACCGAAGCAAGCTACCCCTAACGAATCCAAATTTTGTTAGTGGCAAATTGCATACCTGAATTCAAATGGTGACCCGCTACGTACCGCGTACTGTGTAACTATGGTATAATTGTAGTTGGTCTCTTTAAGTGCATGAGCGCAAGGCGCAATGCAATGTGTGCAATTAAGTGAATGGAGACGTACCATAGAGTATGCGAGTCAATGATTTTACTGTAACTAAACACGTATGTTAATGAAATGTAAAACAAAACCATGATCCTAAAACGAGCTCTGTGGAACAAAATAGAGTGAAGAAACAAACTCCATCAAAAAGAAGTATTTAAGTATTTTGTATGAAAAAAATATTAAAATTCATAATTAGTTTTCTAGTTTTCTACTATATACTTTGGTGAATTGCATACCCAAATTCATACGGTGACCCGCTACGTATCGCGTAATGTGTAACTATGGTATAATTGTAGTTTTGGTCAGCCTAAGTTAATTTCAGTTACATACAAGCAAGTTTTGTGCTGTTACGACCCCTTTTATTTCCATTTGCTACATGCCTAATCAGCATTGTTGATTACAATTATTATCTGCAGTTCTTTCCTCTTTTTTGTAGTTTTTAATATTTTTTTAATGAAATGGAATAGCCTATTTTTCTTATTTTGGATATGGAACACAAATGTATCATATCTAGTTATCTACATGCATGTATTATACTAAATAAGTTGGTTGTAGAATTGTGAAATATGACAACTATTTTGTGCATTCGACTTTTCATATTCTCTTTTCCTAAATATATTTATTTTTCCCTTATAATAAAGATTTGTAGTTTCCAATATTATTATCATTATATTTTGGTAATTAATCTCATTTTCATTTATAGCTCATAACTATTTATAAAAGTTTGTGTACAATAATATTTTAATACTAAGTTCCGTGCATCGCACTGGCGACAGCTAGTTTACCTTTATTTTAGTTCAAATTGCAAACCCCGAGGACCCAACCCCCAAATCCCTAGCTACCCCCTTTCCTCAATACCTCGCCCCCAAATCCCTCGAAAATCCTAGAAAACAAAGAGAACCATTCAAAATTGAAAAATGAGTAGACGAGCACCGAGGATGAGGTATGCGATGGTTTGCTCCTCGAACCAGAATAGGAGCATGGAGGCCCACTACCTCCTCCAACGCCATGGTTTCAATGTCTCCTCCTATGGTACAGGGGAACATGTTAAGCTCCCCGGCCCATCGCGATCTGAGCCCAACATCTACCCATTTGGAATACCCTACCACAGGATGTATGACGACCTTATCCGCAAAAACCCTGACCTGTGAGTCGAACCCCTTCCTGTCCTTTCCTTTTTCCTCTAATTACTGTTCTTGCCATTTAAAAGTTTGGATCTTTATGGGATTTTTAGGTATAAGCGTAATGGGGTATTGTCGATGCTCAAGAGGAATATGAGCGTTAAGCTTGCACCTCAGCGGTTTCAGGATAATGCTGCTGATGGCCCCTTTGATGTTGTTTTCAGTTTTGAAGATAAAGTTTTTGATGTGGTTGTTGATGGTAACTAATTTCCTTCTGTTCTTCATTGTTATCTTCTGATTTGGGGGCCAAACTTTGAAATTTTGCAATTTGATTTTTGATAATGTGATTAATATGAGCTGCAATGAATTCTTGTTTGGATTAACATGAAAAGTAAAGAAAAATCTGTGCTTGGGGTAGTTTTGAAGCTTGCTGTTGTGGGACATAGAAACCATAACATCAGATTCTTAAGGCTACTTTTTAATGATAAATTTTAGGCTTATTGATGGAAATTGAAAAAGGGTAGATTTCTAGAGATGTAAATTTTAGGCTTATTGGCAGAAAAATATACCTTGAAATTTGTAAAAAATATACTCTCTTGCTTGTGGATAATAATTCGTACAACATATGCTGTCTTGCTTCTAGCCTTGTCTAGAACCATACTCAAAGTGCACCCCCTATAGGTTAGAAATAGTTAGTGAGCAAGCGAAGGCTGTATATAGAGTCAAAACTCCCAACAATTTATCTTTTTCTGATATGAGCACTAGAAACTTGTTAAGGAAAGGAGCTCATCTTAGCAAGAAAACAGGATGCAGAGTGGTGATTTTATGGTATGAAAATAAATAGTAAAATATATTGTGTCATCATTGTTATTGGCTTGCAATACCA